GTGAAAGTTGTTTAGTAAGTGCACATTAATGTAGAAACAGAAAGTACTGTTGAAACAAAAGGAAACGGCAATTTAACAGGCTTTAGAGAACGTAAGCATCTTACTTATTGAAGACTTTCTTCTCAAGCCGGGAACGAGAAGTATTAGCCTGCTGCTTCAGGTCTGTCAGATTTGGATATTTTTTCTTCTTCCCTGTCTTTTTCCCTCCTTTTCCATTATTTTTAGAGGAACCGAGATCCATTCCGGTAGCTGCTTCAACTTCCCTCATGAATTCTGGATCTCGCCACTCTGTTTAAAAGAAAAAGCACGCACTGTGAAACTCCAAACCCAGGTAGAACTGGCAGTCTCCTGAAGTACGGGTTCTTGTCACCGCCAGGCGAGGGCAGAGTCACTGTGCTGTAAGTTGCATACGCAAAGGAAGGGGAGGATAAAGCGGTTAGCCAAAATGACAGATCTTGATGAAAAAGCTCTGCCAGTCTGGGATTAGTATCTATTATTAGTTGCTGTAGATAAAACTGTTGTGTAGTCAAGTTTTCGCAGTATCGCAGTAGCAAAATTCCAAGGAAACTAATTCCATGTATGAGAGATGACGTAAACACAGCGATTATTATTTAGAAATTAAACAAAATGCCAACAATGTAGCTGAGGAACTTATCTCCAGAAATAAATTCTGAATAAGCTTAAAAATAAACCTTAAAAAATGGAATATGTCAACTTTTGAGCAGTGGGGGTGACAACATTGTAACTTTCCTGAATCAAAGAATAGTATTTGCTTCAAAACGTGAACCGGTATCTGACACCTAAACAGCATTCTTCAAATCATAAAATCGTTTAGGTTGGAAAAGACCTTTAAGATCATCGAGTCCAACCATTAACCTAACCTAACCTTATTCTTGAATACGACAACATGACCCTGTTGCCATGAGCCCAATTTTACATCTGAAAAAGATACTACTTTTTAAGTACCCCATGCTTCCTCAGCTTAATTAGCTAAATCAAGTTTCTTCTCTTGACAATCATGCAAGCGTTCATTTATCTCATCAAAAAATTGTTTTACAGTTTTATCAAAACCTTAATGCTTCAGAATACAACCATACACCGTAAATGGATTCTGATCATAGATGCCAGCATGGGAAAGAGCATGAGTAATTTTGACTGTAAACTCTTTGAGGAAGCAGGGGTCTTTCACCTTTAGTGTAGAGTCTTGCATACCAGAACACAGTAACATAGTACTAAGTAGAAAGTAAAAATGTGGCTAGAGGATGGACATCTTCAAGTGGAAATTTAGAAAAATGGCATTGAACTATAAAGATTTTGAGCATATGGGTTGGAAAAAAATGTAGCAAGTACCACTTCAAAGAGTAACATGGTCCAAACTCGGCATAAATGTCAGAATTCTGTATTTTAACAACCAGTAATTGCCACTCATTTGTCATAGTTTCCCATGTCAGTCAGCCCTTCTTGCCTGCAGAAATTGTAACACCACATGTTTTAACATCGATGTAGATACAGAAAAATAAACAGTCCTAAACGACTATACAATGTCACTTATATACTAAAGATGGTCCCTGAGTGTGACAAATATTGGCAATAACATTTCAGAAAGGTCAGAGACAATGTCCCCACTTAAGAACATGGTGTTTAGGAATACCAGAGCAATTTTCCAAGGAAAGGTTAGATCTAACCTGCTACGATACGTGAAAGCAAGGACTGATTAAAAGCCAACGCACCAAAAAGCATGAGGAAAATGAAGCTGTGCAAGAACTGAGCAGGAGAAGTATAGAGGGAGAAAATAGAACACATATACTTGATAGATCATAAGACCTCACAGACTTTTTTTTTTTTTTTTTTAAGTGAAGGAACACAGAACAGCACAATTCAGATACAGGAACGATTAATCCAAGATTAAGGAAAACTGTCTAAACAGTTTATCTCCCAGTAATAAGAAGGCGTCACAGTTTAGGAACCCAGTGAATGGAGCAATTGTTTAAACACAACGAAAAAATGCCGGCATCCAGTAGAGATGAAATGAGCATTTGAGTAAAATGAAGGAGCAATTTAAAAGCCTTTGAGAAAAATCAATAGAATGCCAGGGAAGAGCAGCCTTTTTGAGCATTGATGGGCCCCTAAAGCTCTTCATACATTGTTACTGAGTTTAGCAGCAGGGAAAAGAAAATTACACAGTTTGCAAGGGTAGGCGGGAATCAATACTGTAGTTAGTAAAGAGATGCTATTTCACATCTGACTGGCCAGCGGCCTGCCTTCACCAGCCTGTCCTGATACCTGTTTGTTAACAAGTCACTAAGGGCTGAAAAACCAGATACTCTTCAGGGCTGACACAAAAAATAGGCACTTAATTTGCTCCTGTGCGCGAACTATTGGAAAAGGATGAACACTGCAGATTAGCAGGTCAGCGTAATCCCAGCTGATTCATTGTTTCAGGACCAAAGAGCCCAAAGCATCGTTTGTGGACATTAGCCAGAGTTTATAATTTTATACTAAGTTAAAAAATACTCTGTAATAACAATGACAGTATGGCAAAACATAGTCATTATCACAGGAACTGTATTACTTTCATGTAATTGTTTTCCCCTTCAACCACACAGGGATGAAAATAAACCTACCACCCAACAGGGAAAAGGTGTAGGAAGAGTTTTGGTGCCTTTTAACCACACAACTGATCCCCAAATTTTAACGTTTGGCATTTTTCAAACCGTCATCATTAGCAAATGATGTTGTCAATTGTAACACCAAAGCACTTACTGTACAGAGTGGGTCCCCATTAGTATATTTTGCATGGCAGCACTGCTCAGACTTGCTTCAAGTCCTTTGTGAAAAAAAAAAAAACCCAAAGCCCAACAGAAACCAACCAAACAACTCTCCCCCCAAACCACAAACCCAAACCAAACAAACTAAAGACCATTTTAAAAGGTTCATGAAAATATTACAAAACAAATATAAAAATACTGAGGCACAGAAAAAAAGAAAGCAACAAAAAGCAGTGGATAAAAGTATTTAGTGACATCTGGTATACATATGGCTTCAGAAACCTGTATGGTTTTGTCCAATAAATTGTGTGCCACAGCTCGTTCAGTATCTCCCCAGCCAGCCAGGATGGACCTTTGTACGACATCTCAGCTTAACAACGGCACTCAATAATGCAACGCAGCGATGTCAACACTGGTTTGGGACTAACATACACATCCTTGTGGGCCAGAGGTGAGAAGCCTCTAACAACACCACGCTGACACTGTAATAAAAATAAATATTATGTCTAGCCTCCAGCAACGGCAATTTCACAGAAAAAAAAAAAAAATCAATATTTTTCAGTGCAAGTGATTTTTATACCAGAGTACTAGCTTCTAGTTTGAAACCAGTCCCTCAAGAACACCCACTAGTTTAATTTGCTAGTTTGTTTGCCATATCTAAGTTGGGAACTTTCCTTTTTAGCACAACGTCCACACCCCTGGCCTGGCTTCACTGTGACAGCCCAACCCAACCGAGCCCACGCTGTTGGCTGGATGCCGGTTTAGAGCACTTTGCTCCACCTGGACGCAGATGGAAACCGCCTGCAAACGGAGCACTTCGACACACGCAGGCACCAGAAGGTGCTCAGTAACTGCTGCATTCGCGTGGTGCTGGTAATTGCCAAGCACAGTCATTCAAAGATGGCTAAATATGTATTAAAGGAAACTGGGTGGCTCAGTTGTATGTTTAAATACACATTCATTCGACACAGACCCTTTTGGGTAACAGATCAACAACCATTCTTCATGCTCTGAAGGGGTTTCGTGGAAGGTTCAGTAGCCTCATTAATAACACATATGACTCTGAAACTGGTGAAATACCGAGTCAGAGCTTAAGAGAGAACTAACTCCTTAAAAGGAGTATACTAAAGGTATCAAAATGATAAAGCCTATGGGTAAGTTTAATTAGAATGTAAACTACTCACCTAGAACAAATAGCTTAAAACGGAGAAAACTAAGACCTGCTGGAGGAAGGCAGATTAAATAAAAGCTTTGAAAACAAATCTGTCCCCTCCAATTATACACTATGGCTTCACTGGATAGATCCCTCTCTCCCATCTTGCTTTGCAGTCCATCAACTTCCAGTAGCTTCGTGGTTGCAGTCCCCCCAGCGCTCTATGAAAATCTACCTTCTGTCCAGCACTAATGAGGCTTAGTCGTACTATTGCAAAAAAGTATCTTATTCCGCTTGGAAGTCTTCCTGCCTGTGTATTCATTGCTTGTTGTCTTTTTCATTGCATGCATTCCTTACCTAGCAGACCAGAGCTTTATCCTGACTAAAAATGCCCAAATAATCTTGGGGAAGGCTGAGCTTTCCCTGCAGAGCATTCCACACCTGAAAGCAGCAGCCAGGATGCAAGGAGAAGGCCATTGGTTTTGTTGCCCATGTCCACTGCTTAAAAAGAAAATCCAGAGTATTGCACAGTAAATTGTAAACAATTAAACAGCATGGGTCTGCTTGCTCCCTTTCTCAAGCCCCTCACAAACATCGTGCCTATTAGAATATTAGCCATAATGCCAATAAAGTAAAGCCCAAGGTGAAGGCTTCCCTAGTTCAGAGTATTTTCTAGCGATGCTGCAGAGATGCACAGCACAACAAGGCCAAGAATTCTCCTCCTAAAACACAAGTAGTAAATGAGTAGATATAGGAAATACAGAATATGATAGATATGAACAGATATAGAAAAAAACAAGTTCCTGCATTGTAACAAAAAACCCACTCTGCCAATATTCATGGTAACACAGTGCTCCTAATAATATTATCATTACATTATGTAAATCGCAACTGTTAGGGACCAGCAAGATTAGACAACTTCTTTTCAGAAGCATGGGAACACTTACTGTCGAGCATTTCCCGAAATAGGTTTAATTGTCCTTAATAAACATGTTCCTTAAGATAAAGGCTGTAATTTGTCTGTCTGAGAAGTGTTAGGAACATTATGATAACTATTGGAAATAAAGAACAAAATGCAATATTAATCTTATTCTGTGTACAAATGCATCCACATTTACCACATAAGCAAGAATCACTGCAGATGATCTGCAAATTAATATTAACAGGAATTTAAATGAGAGAATGGGGTTAGGAGCAAAACAGAAATATGACCCAGTTTGGTGGATCTCAACCTGTGCCTCTAGCAACAAAAGAGTTGGCTCTCTTCCTCCATACAGCCTGTCTCCTTTATTGTCCAACTGTATACTGAGATTGTTGTCCAACTCGTATCTACACTGTATCTATACATAGGTACAATATAGATAATACATAGATACAACATAGATACAGTATATTGTAGATGCAATATATACAATATATAGATACAATGTAGACACAATCATTGTATAGATTGTAAATATATATTGTACATATTGTAAATACTGTATACAATATATATACAAACACATATACAATAAGATATTATGCTTACATTTAAAGCTTATCTCCCAGCTCTGTATAATATTTTTACTTTTTTTTTTTTTTTTTTTTTTTTTTTTAAGATGCTATGCAGGCACAAACCTGGCTGAGCTGCTTGCTTCTCAAACCGCATCTTTTCTTCTCTGGCTCTGTCCTCTGCATTAACGGGAATCCCAGATTCATCCCGGGGAATTATCTTTCCGTGGAAAGGGCACTTCAGAAAGAGAAGGAAAACAAAAAAATCTCAAAACTTCTGGATGAAAAGAAAATGCTTATGTGTTATTCAACATAGCTTAAAGCCAGACACTGGAATCAAGCAACAAAACTTTACACTTGGTGCCCAGTCCCCCTTAGAAAGCATCAGGATCCCATAAACATCATGTGTTTAATATATTCAGAATCTCAAAGTAGTACACTCTTTGTGATATAAATACCCAGTTTCAAGAGGCCAGGTAGCACATCCTGTCAAGCCTCAAACCAGGGCACCAATGGTGCATTGTATTTTGCTGTTTATGCTACACTCCTATCCCGTAACAATCCCATTTAAAGTATTTTAGTGCATTCAGATCCTTCAATCTCAGGTAATACAGGAAAAATGGGGATATTAGAACAAAGTATTCAAGCAAACTATTTCTGCTCAATAGGGCTGATAGTTTGAGGCTGTGTAGGATTTAGGTTTCATAAAACCTAATTTGTACATAAAATCTCTTTGCCCCTCAAACACCCACATTTCTAAAAAACAGTATCATATATGCCTCTAAATGAGGAAAACTTTTTGGCAAATAACTAACTGTCCCTGCTTTACCACCAGGTACTGAAACATCACAGTAATAAATACCTATGATGAATGCAAAAAATAATTGAGAGTTCTTAGATGTTTACAGCTTCCTTACAGAAAGGGTGCTTCTCATATGAAGCACACATCAACAGCAAACTTCTCCAGATACAATTTTCTTTCACTGCCTTGAGCTGTATTTACAATGTGAAGTAAACTCTTACGGACATGTTTTAACAAGGTCTTCTCCAAAAAGCACACATCCGGGAAGTTATGTTACTTGGTGCCCACCTTAACCCGGTCTTGTCTTTCACACAGACTTCCATCAGGCATCGGTGCTCGACATTTATGTTTCACTGGTTCAAACTTGCCAGCAAATGTTATATATCTCGTTTTTAACATTTCGCTTATTTCTTTATTTTCCACCTCTTCTTCTACTTCACTGGGTGCCCAAAATCGATGCTCAGAAGCAAATCTGGGAAAACAACGAATGAAAATTATTCACAAAGTTGTAAGAAAGCACATAAAGATGCCAGTACCATCCTGTGGTAAACTTACATGTGAAAGGAAGGGCAGCTTTACTAGTGAATTAGAAAAATCTAGGAATCTACCATTCTTTCTTATGACTCCTGTATTATGAAGATGTTTTTAAGATGCCACCAAAGCCTGCCTAACGTTTATTTCTTGTTTAACCTGCTAATCTATTACAAGTCTTAGCTCTAGTTTGTGATCTGATGAGTCAGAGTCAGTTATCTGACATCCAGTTTCAGCAAATAACTTTGTAATTCTGTAGTTATCATTCTTCATAACAAAATACTTCTGTGATTAAACACAGTAGACCAGGGAGGAAAGAGTTTGATCTTAACTTGTTCCTTTTATATATATTCTTATTCCTGGTAGCTGTACACCTGTAGCAGCAGAGAAGCAGAAGCAGAAATCAGAGGATGTTGCAATATACTTGGACCACGGAAGAAAGCAAACGATCAGCTGAGCCTTACAGAGATTCTTCCAGGTTCTCCTATACAGTGTCCATAAGTCTGAGAAACTTATGGGGTGTTCCTCTACGAAATTAAGCTAATCCATTGAAAATATATTTTAAAATTACAGTTCTGACCTGTATTTACAGACACAGACAACTACACTCTTTGTTAATCTGGTGTAAAGAAGATTAGTACCATGCCAGTGGATGTGGGGAGTGGGAGAGAAGGGCAGCGGGAGAGAAGGGGAGCAAGGGCCCTTGAGTGATGTAGTATTTTCAAGTTTTCTCAACAGTATTAATATAATTTCATTTTAGCCACCCTAGGCTGCCAGTAGTCTATAATGAGAAACAGGCAACCCTAGAGAATAACTACCTCTTTTAGGTGCTAATCTTAGGGTGCAATGACTGTCCCTCTGGTGGTAAATGTTTCTTTCTCCTAATCACGAAAAGAAATTAGGGTGACCAGCTGAGGTATATAACTTTAAGACATCTGAAGTTAACCAATAATCCCATCCCAAATTTAAGGAAATATGAAGTTAAAGAGAAAAAAAATACAGCTAAACTAAGAAAAAAAAAATTACAGCCTGCATGTCTGCTGCTTATTACAAGCAAAAGGCAGATACCTAGATGACAGATATCTTGATAAGGGCTTAAAATTCATAAAGCACACTTTACAATCCCTTTCTTCGACATAGCTCTTCCACCCAATCAGTCCCAGACTGATTTGAGAGGATTTTCTCTATCCATATCCAATTCCTCTCACTCATTAATATCCTTGGGTGTCACTCCTACTTCTGAGACTTTGCCTTCTGTAGACTGCAGAGATATGTGAACACTGGCTTCACTACGATCACAATCCAGCAAAGCACATAAACCAATACTTAACAAATTACTTTAGCAGGCCTGAAGAGTTTTGATGAATTTTAGCTAAGCAAGTTTTCAGCAGTTGACAAAGTAGAAAAAAAAAAAGTGAAATGATCTGACCTTAGCAACCTACAACATACATAGCTGCAGGTTTTAGTGCAGTAGTTTACAGAAAGGGTTGACCATTTAAAAATATGTAAAGAGATTAGAACTACATTAGAAAAGGGATTAAGAAATTTTGAAGCCATTCTATGATTTGCCAAATCATCAGAAAAATGTTCAACAGGTAAAATCCTTGTTAAAGAGATTCATGCCATCCAGTAATTTCTTCATCGAATATACCTTGCTAGTGCCAGAAATATTCTAACCTGCTGTAAAGTACAAATAACTTTCTTCTGGTAAATTAGGAGATAAAGGCAAAAGAGTTACAGTGGAGACTAGTTCAACATTAAACACAGTAATATGTTTCCGTTACTTTTGGTTAAAAAAAACCTTTTCAATCACACAATTCTGCAAACTATAACCTAAACAAAAAAACCCTGTAAGAATCTTTATAATATACCAATATGACTTTAGTCAAATGTTTGAATGGTACAGTATTTCAGCTTCAGAAGTTACATGGCAAGATTGTACAATAGACAGTGAATAAAAGAATGAAATAAATTTCTTATTTGCTTAGTTTTAATACAATCTTGAAAACAAGACTGACTGCTAGCTCTGTGTTACTAACCTTACAGACACAAGGAGGAAAAAGTATTCTTAAAAAGACACCATGCAGGGTTTCTATGTGCAAAGCAGTCTTACAGAATCGTTTAGTAAAATTCTCATGTCCTTTGGTGGTCTGGACCACCCTCCCCCTCTGAATTATCAAATTACAGTTACATGAGAATGAAGAAGCATTTAACAGTTGTGCATGCCAACCTTTCCAATTAGGAAAAAGTTCTACTTAATATTTTGACTTCCCTCCCAAAAAATCTGCATCGAACAAATACCAAGGAAATTAAAATTATGTTTTACTTTATATAACATTGATCAGTATTTGGGAACTAGACTTAAAATAGCCTGATTTCTGCACAGATATTAATGAATATTTTTGTTTACTACAGGTATATAAAATATTTTCGTCCAGCATGACTTAAGAGCAGGTGAGAAAAGAACAAAACGGTGCTAAATCCCAAAGTTTTCTGATTTCCTGCTGCTGTAATTTAAGCAACACTTTAAAAAGGCAGAACATGAGATCTTTGAAAAAAATGATGCATGTGACAAGTAAAACCTTTTTGCAAGAGGGATCAAAAGGGGAACAGATAATCAACTAGAAGATCAACACCTCACTCACGCTTGTATAAAGAGTGTTACTGATCGAGACAAATAACAGAGGCTTTAATGGAAATTACATAGCTATATATTAGGAGGAATAAAAGACAAGTAATGGTTAACCAAAATCTAAAAGAAAATCCAGCTCCTGGAGAAATGTTGCACTCTTTCAACAAATTTATATCAACTTTGTTCCTAAGGTGATGGGAAGCTTATCGAAAGCTTGAGCAAATATAAATTCTAAAACCAGTATGATACATACAGAGATCCTGGAACAGGTGCTAAATGAGATAATTCAAGTAGCTTAGTCACCAGCATAAAAAGTGCTACACCAGCTAATTTACTCTGATCCTAAGAGTAAGCTAGTTTAATTCAAGGAGTAGGGTAGATGAGTTTGGAAGGCCCATGCTATCCAAAATAGTTGGTTAAGCTGGCATAGTAGCCTCTACACAGTACAACATTGTACAGTATACCCCCCCCCCCAAAAAAAAAGTACTACTACAGCTTTATATACTCATTCTAAGAGTTCTTAAGCTAGCTTAATAAGTTGGGTGAGTGAAGGCAGAAGTGGGGAAAATGGTTTGGCCCAAATTTTTTGTAAAGCCCACAGTTACTGTCACCTTTTCTAGAAGATGATGCTTCATCATTTACCAGCTAAACAAAACTTATTTAGAAAATCATCTTCCTGGTAGCTACATTCTCACTATTAAAATCTTAATTTATTGTAAATGCTGTAATTAAGTAAGTGTAGCATTAAATACGTGAAGGGGAAAGACTTTTCCACCTCAGGTTTTAACAATTCAAATTCCATACACATTCCATATGTGTTGTCTGGTTTTTATGTTTGCTTTTTTTCCTAGGCATCTTATAGAGACAGTATCTGTGCATATGGAAAAGTTAAAGGAGTTGGCCAATGACTACCTTAATTTTTCAATAAATGTATTTTATATCCAGGGGTCAATGGTATTGTGTGTGCAGAGTTAGATTGGCATATCTGTAGTTATAAACTATAAGGTTCAGAAGTGTGCCCTCTATTTTATTGGAAAGCATAAAAATAAAAGAGTACAGCACATGGCAGACAGGCAGTGAAATATGCTTCTGATTTCACTTATGACTTGAATAACTCATTTGCAATGTAAAATAAAGCCTTACTACCTTTTTGGCATTATCACAGACAAATGCTTCTTAAAGCCCTGCTGAAAATCTTAACCATTTTATAGGCTTTGAAGAGCTTACACCACACCAGACAGAATGCAAAGCTTGGAGTGACTGTGTTAAAGCACTATTATGTATCAAATTTCACTGGCTTTCAACAATTTAAAACATATTCAGCATTTTATGCAATCAGGTACAGGGGCAACACTTTCCTCTTGTTTTTTTCTGCAAACGCTGTCTTTACACTGTGATCATGGGTTGGGTTTTTTGGTTTGTTTTGATAAGAAAGTAAAGTATGGTAAAGTAATACTGCTGAGAATATATGAGTTTGATTTGCAACCCAGCCAGTCATTGGTTTTTGCCTTTTCCAAGCCAGGTATGGTACACACTGATACTAAAGTTCTGGTGGACTTAAATGAAATTTATACATAGAGGGAGGACTTCAGATCACAATTTTCATATAAAAATACTAGTGCTAAAAAAGGGTTTTAAAAACTGACTGCTAGAAACAAGCTCTGATGTATACCTACAATCTGTTCTCCCTGGCACTGCGAAAGCTTCTCCCGAGCCAGCAATGCTTCATGTCCAAGAAACACAGAACCTTCCCAGACAAGAATGGAAAGTGAGATATCCAAATTCAAATCCTGAAACTGCCACCTATTTCTTGTGTGACTGAACAAGCATATCAATTTCCTCAGTTACCACTCGGTGAAGTCAGGAAAAATACCCCTGACACCTTCCCTAGCCTTTCTGCTACCTTGTCTGCTATTTATTTAGACTGTGAAGTCCCCAGCAGAAGGATGGTCTATCATGCACTTGCATAGCACTTTGCATAATGAGGTACCAATTTAAACTGGAGTAAGTGATGCCATGCTGCAAGTAATACGCAAACATGAAAGAGCAGAAAAAATGTGCTTTGAAGCATCAAAGGATATTTAATTAGTATCACATCTTCTCAAAACAAATAACATTTTAAGGTAGAATTTCTGACTTTGTTTATGGGTCCTACAGCACAAGGGAAAGAAGAAAAGTAATTATCAAAAGAAATAGCAGTCAACCCACTGCATGACCTCTGAGTGCAAGTAAATCTATATATTTGTTTAATTTGTCTTAAAAGAAAGAGAGCATTACTTGAGAATCTTCCCAGCACTTGGTTGATCCTGTCCCCAGTAGTGAAGGTCTAATCCAAAAGGCATGAGGGGAGCTTTAGCTCTTTCTTCTTCTAGTTTTCTTCTTTTACTGTCAGGCTCTTCCAAAGCTGCTGGCTCAGTAGTGGCAGAGTCACTGGAGAAAATTCATGAGAAGTCAATACAGAACAGCAATGATCACAACTTTTTCTCTTTTTTCATTAGATTTTCACACCAACGCTAATATTACCTTAAATCTAGGACTACAACTACCTTTACAGGGTTGTCCTTTTCTTTTTTTTAAAAGGACACAGACCGTAACACCACACACTCTAAGTACAGCACACTGCACCATGAAGCTTAACTGCACATTCAGCTAAAGCTAGATAAAATGTATTATACCATGGGTGTAGAAGCTGAGAGATCTAACGGGGGCAGCAGTGGATCATACACGCTGTACTGTTACAAGAGCTACCGATGTGGCAAACCATTTTTAGAAAGATCTTGCTTCTGTAAACTCATGCCCATGTTTGCATGGCAGTCACACAGATTGCAAAGTCTTTGTTTTTGTTGACAAAATTCCATCTTGTAGACTTGTAATACTCATTGTGCAACACCACAACAGAATTCATTAGTCCTCAAAAACCAGAGTAGTACTGTGGAGACCTTGGCTATTCACCGATAGAGTTGCAAATGGTCTTAGTCACCTTACTGAAACATTAACTTTTTAAAGATTAAAAATAAAAACGTACACCTGAATACTCCAAACCCCTTCCTCTTTCTGAGTTTACATTCCAGTTTGCTGGGTTTCAGGGCTTTCCTGGCCAATGCAGAAGTGTCTTTTCAGGAACATGCCACTAAGTGGATTACTCCAGTCTTAGCCTCAAATCACAGATAAATGCTAGACAGTGCTGGAGTTTCACCAAGCTTTGAACAGGACTGACAGCAAATACATCTTTGGAATCAGTAAAACATGCCTCCAGGCAGCACTGCCAGCATAAGTCCCTAGGAACCAAGAGATGGTTGAAACTACTTTCTAATTTAGTATTAGGATATGTTCTGTTTAGTTGCACACCAAAAGTTACTCCAACAAATGGGGATGGGTTCTTTTGTTAGGAGAGAAGGAAATGTTTTATTTTTTCATGGAGGCCATTTACACCAAATAAAACCTAAACCTAGTAGTAAGAGATTCCTTAAGAGCCTGGCGCAGTCACTAAAATCTCCAATATTAAGCAGTGAATGTACATCTCAGTAAAAGAACTGTAACCTCAAAATGAAACCAAGATGGCCTTAGCAGCTTGCCCAGTTAGCAAGCGCTTTTCTGTGTGCTTTTGTGACTAATAAATCCGAGTAAGAGCAAGAGGTTTCTGCAAGAATTAAACCAAAAATAACCTGGCATGTGGAGGTGGTAACTTTGGCAGTTTGTCTCGAATAAGTTTCAGTGTGGCAGCTGCACAGGTTGGATCAAGTTCGTCTTCATTCCCTCTCAGCTGGGCGCGGGAGCTCAGCGGAGCTGGTCCTGTTGAAGTCTTCCCCACTGGTGCTTTTGGAAGTGATTGAGGTTCTAGCCCTGAAAAAAACCTTGATGTTTAGGAGTGATTCACTTCTCCCACCCTCAATGCTTCACAGTGGGACCAAACAGCTCAGGATGCTGATTACATGTCTTACTGCTCTCAGTTTGTATTAGACATCAATCCCACTCAAAGACAGAGTGATATTTCTGCCAGTGAATTTTTTCTTATTTTGGAACAGAAACATACTGAGTAACTAACTACAGCAAACCAACTTTTAAATTTGTATGACATGGTGTGACAACAAAGAATTATGTTACTTCACCTTGGAAAGAAGGATTTTAACAATACATGTTTGCCTGAACTGCAATAGTGCTTTTTTAATATGTTTCTAGTGTCACATCTGCTTGCTGGTACGTCATTTCTGCACTCAAGGTTATATCAAGGTAAAACAGAAGAAAGGAACTATTGGCCCTACTGTTTAACACCTACAGTCCCAAAAGACATCTAAGAGCAGTAGAAAGCAAAAGGAAAGGCATGCATCCACATCCTCCTGTGTGCTAAGATTAATTCTTAGTGGTGTCTCAGCAAAAAGTCCTGCTAAAACTCTGGCAAAGAGAAACCATTTCTGGGCAGGGGATTCACTGCAACACATGACTGATGAGAACAGGAACCATCGCCACCCAGCATGGCTGGCAGGGAAGCACACCCAGTGAAAAAGCAGTGTGTGTGAGGCACATCCCTGTTCTTTGATGATTCTCAGCTACCATATTGACCCTTCAGAGCTGAGAATATAAAAGAAAACATCTTTTTTTTCCATGCCTGATTTGTTAAAGGGCAGGACCACCAAGAATAGTTGAGTTTCAATTCCTAAATACATCCGCAAACAGAATCATCTAGAGAAATTCTTCTTTCACAGACACTAAAACACACAATTTGCCAAAATAAAATACCTAAGCGCTGGCAGAAGCAATGAGTGTACCCACAAAGTACACTCAAGAGACATTACATGCCTGAGCTACATCTGAGGAACAAACCCACTGCAAGGCAGTACCAGGCACTGATGTTCAGCACCAGCAGCTCAGTGGTGGGGCAACTTAATTAGCTTATACAGCTAGATTAGACAGTCAGCGCGGACTGTAATGATGCAATTAGATAGGCTGAGCAGTTAGACAGCACATGCCTCTACCCGCTGAGCTGCAGAGGCAACTCTATTAGCTGGCAGTAGTAACAAGAACTTTTCAGCCAACGACAGCTAAAAATGGAAAGACGTGATCCCTTACACTAACGTCATAGACTGCATTTTCCCCATCAGAAAGCCTTTTTATAAGTGACTGAAATGCAAGGCCCCACCCCCCAAAAAAACTAAATCAACACAAAAGAGTCATGGTTTCACAAGACTAAAATTTTAAGCAAATTTTCTCAGCCTTCTTATGAAAAGCAACCTGAGTTTACCCGACATGTTTTAGCTGTTATTTAATTGGGACTTTTAGTCTCTCACCCACTTCTAGCCAGCCCTGAAGCTGTACCCGTAAGTGTTCCTGCTTTGCTAATCATTAAATGTATCACAAGATATGAACTCCAAGCTCAGGGCACTGAGAAGGATGCCCTGTCAACCCCCTGCTTATCCTAGTTCCTGGACATCCTCTCCCTGGAAGGAGCTGACAATCCCAATTCAAAATCTGCAAAGCTAGAGCCCCTCAGAAAGAAAGGGGAAACAAAAGCAGATATCCAGTTGGATCTGGCTTGTGTAGCCTTTAAGTTTTGCGGCATAGGGCAAATGGCCACTGCAGTCATTCCTACATCTTCTGAGTACAGCTGACTCGAGAGAGAAGACAGAGCTCCAGAATACTCTCAAGGATGAGGATGAGGACTCTTCTAAGGCCATCTGAGACCCCATGTCTCTCTCTAGCACGGCTTATACTGGTAGCAATGAAGGAAAACGTTTTAAGGGCAAGGCGGTTCAGGGCAGGGGCCAGTAACGACAACTGTGGCAGATGGCTCACCTTCCCCTTTCAAAACAAGGGATGGAAGGAAATAGAAGCTGGAGAAGAAAAGAGGATGAGAGCGCACCAGCCATCAGCAGTTAATAAGCATTCATAGAGACTTCTCCTCTGTCTTCTCCTTGCTCTCCCATGAAAACTCAATACATTCCTTCTGCTTACCCAATGTATGACAAAGAGAAACGTGGACCATTTTAACAAGACAGTGGAGGGGAGGCAAGTGATGTGACTTGTGTGTGACAGTATTTTCCCATGTCCAGAGAGACACCAGACCCAGCTCTGGCAGGCTGATGCATTCCCCCTTTCCTAAGAAAAGGCTGCTTGAGTAACGTGTAGATACCCCACAGGAGTGAACACGCATCCGAGAGTGGGTATTTCAGTAGTGCCAGTCCTGCGGCTGTCCCAGAAAGACTTCAGGAAGTACCCAACTGTCCGAACGTTCACAGGCAGCAAGTATTGCAGAGTGGACAAAGACATTCACCACTGAAGCCAGTGTCAAACTCAGCTCCTCCCCGACTCCCTGTTCTGCTCTCTGGAAAACACCCCAAAACCAAAGCCTGCATTCCTAAAGCAGTGCATCTTGAAAAACAGTGCTGCTCGAGCTGGCCAATGCTTCCTAGGAATTGAAGTTAGCATGGACTGTGATGCAAAGACGGATCATCCCTTTTCAATTTTTCTGTCCTCAGATGGGAGGTGAGAACCTGCCTCCCAGCTGTAGACAGACACACGCCATCTTGCTGTTGGGCTGCTGCTGCTGAGCACGCCTGACACTACTACTCCTTCACCTAGTCAGGCCCACATCACATTTTCTAATGAAAGCAATGAACACGCCACATTCACCTTGTTACCTAACTTCCTTTCCCAAAGTCAACAAGACTTTAAAGTACATTGTTAAAAAAAAAAAAAAAAAATCATTCAAAAAGGACTAATCTGTGCATTGGAAAAGGGTCTCAAAATTAGAAGGACCAGCAATAAGGCAAATTATAATTAAGCATAATAGGCTAGAACTAAGCAGAGGAATATCTAGGCTAAACAGCAAACGAAATGATCTCATGACATTTATTAGGCTGGGGACTTGCCATTCAAGAGGGATAATGGTGCCTCCATAAAAGCACTTTTTCAACAGCACTTACTATTTCACTGAAGGGAACCATCTTGAATTTATGTGTCTAGAAAGGGGGCAGGATAGGACTCCATCTCAGCTCCTGTCATAGGCTAGAAAGGGAAAAAGCCCTTCTCAGGTGCCTTGTATCAAAGTGAAACAGAATTAACCCAAAGGATTGTTATAGCCACACTTTAGAATCATCAGAATTTGGAAAAAGTAAACTTTCTTTTATGACAGAAATAGTTACATGGCATGAACAAGGTTAACTGAGAAAAACATGTGATAGGCTGTATCCGTAATATAGAATTGTTTAGACTGTATTTAGCATTTAAAATTGCCTTTTTTCTTTTTCTTTTTAAGGACAAGAATACCTTTCTGAAAAGCATTGTTTAAAGCAATAGCTTTGAAAGCACTTGTATATGTACTATGTACAAACTGTCTTGAAGTCAGAAGGTAGCAGGTATGTGTCTCACGCCTTTGTTCCTCTTCAGAGAGAGTATGTGCATATGTCTTAGAAGTTCTCAGGAAACACTAGTTTTATTCCAATTTTTGCTATGATGTTTATGGAAAACATAACTGCTCATTCACTACACTGATTTGGGGGGGAGAGGATGCGAACAGCAGAGACAAGCAGTCAGCAACACACAGAAAAGGCAAGAGAGATAAATGGACAATGTGACATTTAGGTAGATAAAATCACATCCAAAAGATCAATATAGGAATTCTTAAGAGTTACAAGAACAAAATATTTTCCCATTGATTTCTTATTTTAAACCATTAACAGAAAAATGTCTAAAGGTAAATACGCTACATCAGTAACACCGCCTCTACTGTGGATTTTTTTTTTTTAAATATTTGTTTATAAAATTACTTTTTTGCTAACAAGATAAAGACAAGAGTCACCATGCAGACAGTCCTAGCTGAATGGTATCCAATGTCAGGGTAGGGGTTTTTTTGTTTTGTTTTTAAGACATAGATGGGATAAAGTGCAGTTTTAAAAGTAAAATTCCTCTTAAGAATTCTGCTGTTTGTGTATTTTAACACAAGTACAATACCTGGGTTCAAATTGTTCCAACAGTAGCTTTTAGAAAGAATCATAAAAACGTTCAAATTCCCTTTTTTGTTTAAATTGACCAAATGGCACCTATTTGCCTGAAGCAATAAAGTAGACCGTGTTCACAAGATAAATCGATAGAAGGAAAGAGAGAGGCTGAGGTTTCAGCTGAAGTTAGGCTGCTGAATGCTGACATTATTGATTTTAGCTAGTTCAGCTGGCCTTGTAATTAAAATGTAAATTTGAGAAAGAGATTATGTCCTGACAGAAATGGTGGGATTAGGGGGAGATAAAAGCCCCTCAGTGAAAATTCAGAGAAAGAGCAAGCACAGGTTTCCTCAGCTGTGTGGATTTAGACGAAATCTAGCTACTTCAGATTCACTTAAGTTTAATTGAAAAAACGGAGACAGAATATAAACAAGCATTATGGACTTCAACTTTCCTGAAAAAAATATAATAATTTCTGTTTCCCATTTGTTGAATCTTAGTCAAGCCAAATGTATGCGATTTATATTAGTACAGGCACTCTCCAAGACCATCAGGAAACTCTAGTAGCTCAGGTACAGTATTTCCCCACTTACCCCCTAGCATGCTCATAATGAAAAAAAATGCATGTATTTTACTCAGAAAGCACAGTAAGCTTTACTGCGAAGTGAACAGAACTTTGCAAAGCTTACTTCATATGGACTTGCAGACCAGAGGGCTCAAGTCAATGTCTGGGGCATTGCTTCCAAACAGCTTCAGTGTTTCAGGATCAGTTCTGCTACACCTCTCCACGCACAAATGTGTGTGTGAACAAAATTAACACAGGTGATCATACGGTAGGAAGATTTCATTATCTCCGAAGGTTCTGCTACTCATAAGGGATGGAGATTCGAATTATATGTCAACCCTGAC